CTGTATAATCGAAAACGCTATTAGCCTACGGCTTAGCTCTATTGATATGTTTTGTGTATATGTGATGTATGCCGAATAAATTTTTATGAATTCTTGCAGTATATTTCAATTTAATCATATTGAATCATTTTTTAGTAAAAAATCATTTATATTATTAGCCATTTCTTATTGCTGATTGTATTTTTTAAGAAAAAATTATTAATTAAATTATTAATTTCCAATTTTATCTTAAAAATTTTACTTTGTTTCTTCGAAAGAGATATTAATAGAAGATGTGAGCGTTCAAAAATTCTTAATAATAATACACTCCCGCTGGATATGCAAGGTTACATTATGCACAATAGGATAAAAAAATATTTTCCAAATGCAATCTTGCAAAGTAGATTTGACGGTAGACAAACTGAAAAACACTTAATCGATTTTCTCCTCAAGGAGGAGTATAAAAAAAGAGTAAAGTTAAGAATGGGAAGTCGTTAACGCGCACTTACCTTACTCTTGTGAATGTGCTGATGCTGATACTCGCTGTCGAATTCCGGTTCACTGAAGTAGCTCTGATCTTCCCAATGGGGCGGCAGACCGCCACCTCCCGGCATCCCCAAGGGCCCCGGCATCCCTGTCATTCCGTCGGCACTCTCGAAAAGTCTCAAGACACTGCGATCTTTGATATCTCTTAGATGCGATCTGTAAATCAAGACAATCATAATCATTTGGATTAATAACTGTGTTATTAAAAACGAACTATTATTATAAGCGAAACTATTATTATCATTATTATTATCAACAAAACTGAGAGAAATTTGGACTACACTTATTGATAACTAAAAATTTGAAGATATTATGTAGTAATATTTATTTATTTAATAAATTTTAGTGTAACTAATTAAAGATGTTTTTTTTCTTAATAAAGATTTTCTTTAAAATATTAATTAATAACTGTTTAAACAAAAGATATTTTTTATAATAGCATAAGGATGTTACCTTATATCTTCGAGTTCGTAGAACATATCCTTGTTACTATCGTGAATGTAAACTTTTACGTGAGGACTATCCAGGTATTCCATAGTGAGTTGTTTCGGAAAGCTTCTAACGAAGAGAGCTTTGACGGTGTCTATACTGGTAATCTCGTTTGGTAGCAATGCTCTCTTCGTTTCGTTCCTATACTGCAGGAACACCAATCCTGGAATCATACAAAGAAATACATTATTTTGTCACAATGATTAAGTAGCATTTATGAAACATATCAATACAAAGAAAAGAAGACAATTATTAAATAAAATATTTCAAGAATTAAAATTATCATTGTTGTAGACGTATTTTAGTCTTCAGTATTTAAATATAAATTCATATTAAACAAATAACTAATCCTCGATATTCAGAGCTTATTAACTTATAATATTGATATTGTTTTCATTCAACTTTTGAGATAAATGGTAAATAATATTAATAATTTGATTAAATAATATTAACGTGTTTAAATAATATTAATGACAAAATAATATTGAACATTTATTTTTAACGAATGATTATTATTCGTTCATTTATATTTATTTACATTCTAGTTGTGTTTTGAAAATTACCTAGTGGTCGCTCCAAAGTCTTGCTGGGAGTTCGTACGACGGGCAAGCTGCTCCTTTGCTTACCGCCCCGTCGAAATCCCGTACTGGAGGTCTCCACCTCAGACATGATGCCTGGGTCGTCATCGAAAAGCATCGTCGAAGACGGTGGCGGGTATCCACGCGGAAGAGGCGACTGAAAGCATATAAGCTCAAGATAGATCTCGGTTGAGTTTCTAAGTAACTTATTGTGTCACAAATTGCTTATTATGGTGGCGTTCACGGGAAAGAGAAATATTTAAATATAACATTTCCGCATATTTATGAGCATAATTATGTGAGAAATTTCAACACGAATTTATCATCTATTCATGCTCATTTGCATAAATTTGTTATTACATAATTGATAACTTAATAATGCATTACGTTTATATTGCATAGATGTAAATTGTGGTGTAATTTATATATAGAAGTGATATCGCGTTATTGTAAATATAAAAACGTGGACGTATTGAAATAATTAAATTACATATAAAAATAAGTTTCCTCTGCAGTTAAAAAAACTTGAATTCTTGTCAAATTTTATTTCAATATGTATAATTCAGTTATATCGCTTAAAATTTTATCATTACCTGCCGCGATGAATATATTCATGGCATTTCTCGAATGAACAATTAGACGTACGGTAGGATCAAGGATTAAATGCCACTCGGAGAAAAACGGACGTGTCAGCATGCCGACATGCACATTGATGAAAAAAAAAGAATTGATTGCGCAAGTAATCTTGCATGAAAAACATGAAAATTGAAAAAAATTACCTTTCTCTGGCGAGACTTGGTCCCCATCTGTCGGCGAGCACACACCAGGTAACACGGAAACACACACACAAAGTGAAAACTAGTTAGATGTGTAATACGTTGCGGGGTAGAAAAAGGACAGGAGAGAAAAAAATGAAGAAAAAAAAATAACAGCAATTGGCCGGAAACTATGGTTCGGAAGAGAGGGAATAAAAGTGTGTGAGAGTATATCACTAACGATCAAACGCTGTTCTTCGTTGACAGGTCGATCGTGTAACTCGACCGTAATTGCGGCTGCAAATACTACCATAGGTGCCGACTTTCCGCTTGTAATGGAAACGCGTTCTGCGGAACAGTTTTTCAGTTTGCGCGTGATTATTGAATTGTCATTGTCAGCAAAACCAGTAAACCAGTTATTACATCTCGCAAATCAGTTATTGTCAGAGGAATACACCAATATTCTCCTTTTCAGATTTATACACAATAATTTGTGTAGAATTATCTAGTTATGCAATATAAAATAAAAGAAACTATATTGTGTGCAAGAAGAGTGCCTTTATATCGGCCGCATTTCCTTCCATATTTAATTACATAAAGCAAATGTGTATTTAATTTTGTTTAATATTTGACAAATATAACATGTAAACACAATAAATATATTTAGATATAATTACATACTGAAACGTTATTGTGGACAAGACGTGAAAATTGCGACGTCGGCGCCTATGATATATGCGATGTATATGTATATGTATATAAAATACACGTTTACACAAGAACGTGGTAATAAATATCTGCAGCGATGTTAGTAACGCTTTGAGATAAGAGATAAAAGGTAGGAAAGAAACATAAAAAAGTAAAAAAAAAAGGTGAGATAGGGAGAAAAACCGAGTAAGGGTTACACGTGAATGCATAACTGTAACGAACAGTTGAGGTCATTGTATGCTACAGGCTATGGACAAAGATGTAGGGATAAAAATGTACAAGGTATCCCATAATTTGCAAGATTCATTTTATGACTAATTCTTTGAGAAATGTAAAGTCGATTTTTTCTTAATAAAAATACCGAGATGTCAATAATTTTAAAAGAGAAATTCAAAGAAAGCATTTTTCTGCCACTAACAAGGGGAGAACCAAGCTTTAATATCACAGATTTTGCCAAACTTGAAATATATTGTAGTATACTTCTCACACTACTACACGGTATAATAACTGTTGCCAATGCGCAATAATTTATAAGAAATTATTGTTTAAAGTTTACCGTGTGCGTAATATACCGAGCCGGTAAAGACCGTTACTATAGATCAAACATAGTCGAGCGAGTAAGGTAACGACTTAGAATGCTAGAGGTTTCAAGTTCAAACCCTACTGTGTACAATTATTTTTTTCACAATTTATTTTAATGCAATCGAATTAAATAAATCATAATTTTTAACGGAAAATATTATTTCCTAATTTAAAAAATTTTTTATATTTTTAATTAATATGTATTGAAAAAATTCGCAATCAGATTTTTGCTGTGAAAGTATAAAATAAAAAAAATTATTTTTAAAATACATAATAAAATTTAATAATAAAATTTATATATTACAATATTATATTTATTTAAATATTATAATTATATTTATATAACACAAAAAAATAAAATAAAAAAAAATTAAATTACTCGGAAGTAATTAGTTTACAATCTGCATTTCTGCACTTTTTTGGATGATATTCATCGTAAAAACATGTGAAACACATTACTTCTCTACACCAAGCGCATGTAATAAATACAACTTTTGTGCACAAACATGATTTTTTGAACATAGTTGTTGGAAAACATACTTCGTTAACATTTAAAAAAATTGGTTTTTCGTTAATTAATTTTGATGCAAACCATGCATATTTTATCATTGGTACAAATATTGGTGCGCTTAATTAATGTAAAACTAAGGAATGAATTTTAATTGCGTCTTCTCGGCTGGCTATTTCGCGTTTTTCTTGTAATAAAGTGGAAGCATTTTGTAATCGTTTAATAAAAATTTTGACTTGGCGATAAAAATATACATCACACGGTTGACAAATCAGTGTACATTTTGGTGGAATAATTTTTATTGTGCACAGTACTTTTCCTTTTTCATCCTCAAATATTTTATCGTATAAAGTTGAGTCCGTTTGACCCCTCCAAGAATCGATTATCAGAAGAAATTTATTTTTTTTTACGTACGATAAGAGAGTGGTTTGTAAAAATTCTTTATAAATTTCTTTTGTAAGTTTTCCGGATTTAGAACTGGTAACAATTACATTTTTAAATTCACTTGTTAACTTGTTGACATTTTTTTTAACCAAAGGACCAAACTTTCCTGATGTTTCTTGCACACATAGAAATACGAAAGGAATAATTTTTCCAGACGCAGTTAATGTATATTATGCTGTATATGAATGAGACAGAGTGTTGAGATTACTTTTTTTTACTAGGACTGGCACCCTGCTCTGTTAAAGTTCTGTTATAAACCATCTGATATTGACAGCCTGTCTGATCTGTATTTATAACAAAATCTAATTCAAAATCCGGAATAATGGCTTTTGTTTGAATTTGGAACCTGTTTGCTGCTTCTATTGTTTCCTCTAATGTTGAGTAATCTTTACTGCCTACAAATCTAGTTATACTTCGCTGTTTGATTCTATATGTCCGCTTAAATCTAATAAGCCAACTGTTGCTAGCAGTAAAAGTAAATTTTTCGGATAACAGAGGAAAGGCTGCGCTCATCGCCCACTGTTGTATATTTTTTGTTGTTACCTATAAATTGATAAATAAAAATATTTCGATAATTAAAATATTTTGTTCTTTCATTTTCTTGAATGAATGAATGAATAATTTATTGTTCCCCTTAGGGTTACAAGCTTTTCTTCTCGCCATACATTTCCTTACATCTATACTTAGTCTATACTTAGTCTATCCTTAATCCTATCTTAACCTAACCGCCTTTTGGAGCAGGAGCGTGAGCCATATGTGCCCACCCTCCTCCCCCCCTACCTATACACACACACATCTCGCCTCTGGGACTTCCGTTTCCATTGCTTTGTACATCTTTTATGTCCAACTACTTCCGCCCCTTTTCCCTCCCTCTCTCTCTCT